CTTGAACTGAGAGGCAGATCAGATTGTTCACCTTAAATGGTGTTGTGATGAAGTGGGGATTGTATTCCCCTGGTTACATTGCATGTGTCAAGCCTGTGTCCCCCACTCTGGCACTTCGACTGCAGAAGGTGGGGGAGGAGGCACAGAGATCTTTAAAAAACCTGCCTCTAAAGGTTTCTGTTTTAAAAACTCCCCACGGTCACATTCACTGACCTTGGGAGGTAAGTGTCACCACTTAAGTGGGAAAAAAACCCTTTCTTCTTGAACCCAAGAAATAAATCACTTGGAAACTTCTTCCAGAGGCATACCCCAAGCTTCTCCCTTCTCCCCAGCTTTTTTGTGGTAAAAGCAACAGGGTAATCTGATTGCCTAAGACTGAGAGATCAGTTTTTGTACACAGACCTCTTATTACCTTCCAGGATACAAGAAGGTGATAATAAAATCACCTTTTTTAAGACTATAAAACAAAACAAAAAGATATACTTGGTAAAGCATACTTATAAAGCAACCAACACTTAGCAACCAAGTAAAAAACAAATTAAAAGCACAGAGAATTGCTTCCCTGATTGCATCTAACTAAAAACATTCCCTATCTATGCATATATTCATACTTCCTAGGTCCAGTCCAATTCTAGGCATGGATATTCCTTTTCTAGGCATGATATCCCTGACTGGTTCAATTCATCTTTTCCCTCCAGCTCCCGGTTTGAATGTCTCAAAAGAAAAATGGCAGGCAGATTCCCTCTCAATTCAAATTCCCATTTGTTCTCCTGCCTCCCTGCCAACACTTCCTAACTACCTGGGTTGAACCTTTATTAAATGCCAGAATGTTTCGAAAAGTATAGCACGCCTCCCATCCATCACAGCATGTGATTTCTACTGTCCTGTAGTAACTCTATGTCTGTGTGTCTTTTTTCCTGGACACTGCACCACTACCCAGATGGTGATAGGAATTTCAGTGTGATTGCCTTCCCCACATACACAACAGCTGATGCTTTCTGTAACTGTAACCTGAGCCAAGGAGGAGGTGTGACCAAGTGACACCTTTTGCCCGGAAAGCAGGACAAAGGTCTGAGGAAGCACTGGCTGCAGGCTGGGCCAGGATGCTGAGTGTGGGTTGTCTTACTGTCTTGGGGTACAGGAAGGAGGATCTAAGCCCTTGGCTCTCAGCACCCTCTCTCCAGGATGGATTGTAATGACTGCTACAAGTCTATTCTATGTTGTGTCTGTCAACTAATAATCTTCTGTTCTATTTGTTGGATGAAAGTCGCATCTGACTGTGAATGGGGATGTAGGGTTCCATGACTTCACACTCCTTGGTGACAGGTGTCTGTCTCATTCTTATCAAAGTTTCAATAAAGAATGGAAAGCTCAAGGCCCTCTCACATGTGCAGGACTAGGTTGCAAGGGTCAGGCTGCTGATCTTCAGTGCATTAAGAAGTGTCTGAACTTCTGTATCAGAACTACATTACCAAAATCATCTCTCTTCATGAACCATGCCATAGCATGAGCTTCTCTAACTCCAATCTGCTCTCTGATATTTCAGTGGTAACCAGAACAAGTTTTAAACAACAAAACATTATTTAAACAATACTTAAAATATAATATTGAAGCTACTGTAATCTAGCCTGGCTGCGCTCTTTCTCCACTACTACTGTTGGCTGCTCTGTCAAAGGCTCAGATGGGGGGAAAAAAAGCGCAGTGCCTTTTAAAATATGCCCCAAATAATCCAATCTTGTTTCAAAGGCAGGGGGTGTGTGGCAAGGGATAGTTTTAGTTGTAATGACACAGACATAAATTGAACACTGCAAACACTAAAGAGGGAAAGAACATTGAGGAATTTTCTTCCTGGAGCTTGGAAATGAATCATAGAATCATAGGACTGGAAGGGACCTCGAGAGGTCATCGAGTCCAGCCCCCCGCCCTCAAGGCAGGACCAAGCTCCGTCTACACCATCCCTGACAGATGTCTATCTAACCTGTTCTTAAATATCTCCAGAGAGGGAGATTCCACCACCTCCCTTGGCAATTTATTCCAATATTTGACCACCCTGACAGTTAGGAATTTTTTCCTAATGTCCAATCTAAACCTCCCCTGCTGCACTTTAAGCCCATTACTCCTTGTCCTGTCCTCAGAAACCAAGAGGAACAAATTTTCTCCTTCCTCCTTGTGACACCCATTTAGATATTTGAAAACCACTATCATGTCCCCCCTTAATCTTCTTTTTTCCAAACTAAACAAGCCCAGTTCATGAAGCCTGGCTTCATAGGTCATGTTCTCTAAACCTTTAATCATTCTTGTCGCTCTTCTCTGTACCCTTTCCAATTTCTCCACATCTTTCTTGAAATGTGGCGCCCAGAACTGGACACAGTACTCCAGCTGAGGCCTAACTAGTGCAGAGTAGAGCGGCAGAATGACTTCACGAGTTTTGCTTACAACACACCTGTTGATACAACCTAGAATCATATTTGCTTTTTTTGCAACAGCATCACACCGTTGACTCATATTCAACTTGTGGTCCACTATGACCCCTAGATCCCTTTCTGCCATGCTCCTTCCTAGACAGTCGCTTCCCATCTTGTATGTATGGAACTGATTGTTCCTTCCTAAGTGGAGCACTTTGCATTTCTCTTTATTAAACCTCATCCTGATTAAAAAGAACCACTATTGTTTGCAACAGACTTTAACCATGGCAAATGAAGTGGGTGGGGAGAGGGAGCGATGACATGCCATGCCTGGCATGTGTGAAATTATTCCCTCTTCTGCCACCACCACATCTTTCCAAAGTCAATTGCTAACACTGACTACACTAGATCTCCCTTATCCTTCAGACCACAAAGCCCGGCTGATGCTGAATGGGGCAAGCATTAAGCGCCATTAGCACATGGCAGGAGAGCCAGACAGTGAGCAAAGGGCGGGGGAAGCACTAGAACAATCAAGGGAAGGAGCAAGACTGGAGAGGGGAAGGTGATGGCAGGACTCAGTCACTGGTTGACTACCCCAACCAGGGAGGGCTCGCCTCCTGTGGTACAGGGGAGGCCATGATGGAAGACAGCAGCTGGATATTGTTGGATATTACCAACAGGACAGTGAGCTTATGGACTCAGAGGTTGCTGGTCAAGTCTGTTCTGCCCACAGTGTAGCAGGGACCATAGTAACTGAGCACTCTCCTAAGCCTCATCATCTATACTGTAGCAATCCACACGGAACTCAAGGAAACAAGAACAAGCTGCAGGAGGGATGACTTTGGAGAAGGCACCAAGAAGCTCGCCTATGTAGCCATAGTTTAATTGCTAACTGTTGAAAACTGATACAGTGACAAGCAAAGATGAAGGCATCTCTCTCAGCCACCATAACTCAACTTCAAAGACAGGTGGTGAACCCACCTAAGTCTACAGATCATTTCTGGGACATTATTGACAATAACCTAGGAGTGGGGAGCAGTGGAGGAACACACTGAAACTGTGATGAAGTTTGTAAATAATATTTTGGGCAGTGTCCTTTGCCTCAGTTTCCCATCTTGTGATAAACAATTGATTTTTCAAGCCAAATTGCACAATGCCTTTTATAGGTAACAGGTGATTCTTGAACTGTTTAAATAACTGGAGGGCAAACAGTAGCCAGGAGGCCTCATGCAGCTCATCAGGGTGATTTGCTGGCAGCCCACAAGACATTTTGGGGGTGTTTACTGTTTGCAGGCATGGGGCCCAGAAGCCGTGCTCCCAGCCACTGGGAGCTGAGGGGAAGCAGCCCACCAGCAGATTACCCTAAGAGACTGGTTTAAATCATCCCAGTAACTCGGTGAAGGGAAGTGGCCCATTGCAGAGAGTAATACTTATGTTACTGCTTTTATTATTTGTACTAGCTGTGGCATTGCCTTTTTCAATGTCCTGAAAAGGCTGACTACATGTTATGTAGCTCCCACTACAAAATTGTTTAGATTTTTTAAATATATTGTAGGCGAAGCAACAGAAAGGCACCCACCTACTTTTAATGTTATTTAACCCCCTACATTTGCTCCTCTGTTCCATTCCTTCAAAAAGGGGCTATAGAAGCTTAACTAACCATTATACAGTAGTCAGTTTTTTTAAATGTCCTTAAAATGAAAAAAAAAATCTTCTGGTAAGAAAGAAGGACAAATACATGCCATTGTTGCTCAATATGGCATTTTGTGTAGTCATCCAGTTATGTAGTAGGCACTTAAGCAGTTGCTTCTACAGATTATTTCAGGAATTCTGCAGCATAGGCTACAGTTTCTGCTCTTACATTTAGGAATCTCAGGAATTCAGTCTCCATTCATATAACTAATGATTCTAATATTTCAATATTTAACTCTACAGAGAGAAGCTAACCAATGTATCTATATCATCCCTCGGATGATGAAATAACATGCTCCTGACATAAGAATCTTTTATTTAAAGCAGGAAATCTCATTGAGCCATATTCTCAGTGCCAGATTAAGGTATAAATTAACTAAGTTATAGTTTAAGGTCTCTAAAAAAATTTGTTATTTCAAATTTTATCAAAATTTGTTGCTAAATAAAAGATACGGGAAAAGATACTCTAAATAAACATTTGTTAAATTGACAAAAAATACATACTTCTGCACAAATACCAATACCCTTCATAGATTCATTATTGACAGGCAGGAAACCAGGGCTGAGGGGAAAAAATGCATCTGTAAAATTAGTATTTCTTGAATAAGTCTGCTGTCAGTCTCCAAAGGTAGCTTTTTGCTGGCCAGCAATTTTAGCTGCTACCGCTAAAATTCTGACTATGCCTTCATAACTTATTTAAATACATAGTCTCGCTGCTAATAAAATTGGGAAAATGTGAGGTGGGAGATGGTAGTGTTGTGAAGCAATCCTGCTTAGCTCATACTTGTATGGAACTCATAGGAGCCAAGTCATGTATAGCCTCCCCCTTGGCAGTGTAGTGTATTTTCTTTTGAGCGGTACACATGTACAATTTTTTATTTTAGTGAGCATGCTGCTTTCTGCTTCATGTGTTATCCATTCTTTACATCACTGAATTTGTAGGCGATCTTATTGACATGGGTCAAGTGGATCTTGAAGGAAAACATATTTTCCCACCATCAGTTTTGGGAACCTTCACTGTGTTTGTGACAAAAGGAATCTCAGTAATTCTTTTATATATGGTCTTATTAATTGTTAGGGAAATACAAAGTTTATCCATTTTTCTTGGTTTATTCATATGAAGAGAATAGTTTTCCATATTCATGGTGTAAAATATACACCCTTTTGGTTTCTGGAGAGAACAGACAAATTAGTACTGTTACAGAAATAAAACAACAGGTTTTGGGCATATATGTCTATTCAAATTATAAATAGAGATATTATAGCTATACAACCAATTACAGATAGCTTCCTTAGCCTCAGCTGTCTCCACATGAATTCTCTCCAGGAATTCCTTGTAGATTTAGATGTTCCTCAGCCTAGCCATCTCCTAGGGTTACCAGATGGTTTAAAATACACACACACACACACACACACACACACACACACACACACACACACACACACCCACCCACCCCGGACACACTTCATCTCAGATTGAGGGGGGAGACCATCTGGGAAGGGAGCGGGGCTGGCCAGAGGAGATCAGGGGGGCACCGCCTGGTGGGAAGCAGGGCTGGCCGGGAGAGGGTTGGGGAGAGTGGGAAGGGAATCAGCGGCGAGCGAGGCTGGCCCAGGCGCACACAGATCCTGGGGTGCTCCCCGTCCCACGCAAAATCCCGGCAGGGCACAAGGGCGAGTCTGGCCCTGGGGATTCCATCCTGCCCAGGCCCCACCCCCCCTCCTCTCCACTGTGTTGTTGTGTCCTGCGTGGCTGGTAGACACACTCATGCAGTGTGAGCGTGTCTACCAGCCAGGCAGTACGCAACTACATACTGATACTCATGATAGTAATAAAACTTAATTAGAAAATACCGGACATTTATATATCTGGTATTTTCTCTATTTCCTGGACAAAAAGCTCAAATAATGGACTGTCTGGTTCAAAACTGGACACCTGGCAATCCTACCACCTCCTCCTGTAGCTCTACGAACTGCTGCCTGAGAGATTCCACCAGCAGGCATCTGTCAGATTGGTTGGTCTCCCCAGACTGGATTTCAGTAAGGCTACGTCTAGACTATATCCCTCTGTCGGCAGAGGGATGTAAATGAAACACTTCGAAAGTGCAAATGAAGCCGGGATTTAAATATCCTGCGCTTCATTTGCATAATCACGTAATGGTACTCTTTTGAAAAAGCGCTATTTCAAAATTGAAGCTGCAGTCTAGATGTGGTTCTTTCGAAAACAGGGCACTTTTTCGAAAAATCTGAAAAAGTGCCCCATTTTCAAAAGAACCGCCATTATGTTCTAGACTGCAGTTTCAGTTTTGAAATGGCGCTCTTTTGAAAGAGCACCATTACGTGATTATGCAAATGAAGCGCAGGATATTTAAATCCCGGCTTCATTTGCACTTTCGAAGTGTTTCATTTACATCCCTCTGCCGACAGAGGGATATAGTCTAGACGTAGCCTTACTGAAATCCAGTCTGGGGAGACCAACCAATCTGACATTGTATGGCTGCAGGCACAGGCAGAGGCAATAGCAGCAGTGCTGGCACAGGTGTTGCGGATATTTCTAACCATATAAGGACTCCCTCTGTCAAACTCCCCTGTCTGCTTTGCTCCCGTGGTCATTCTGCCTCTCGCTTTTAAAGCCTGCTCACCTAGGTCAGGCCTACCCTCTTGTTAGCCACACAGGGCAAGGCTGATCCAGAGGCTGATCAAAGACAATCAAGTCAACAAAGGATCATACACTCCCAGACACAATCCCAACTGCCACCGTAAATGAAGTCACCTGAAAAATTCAAACAGTCAAGCAAACTCACTGACGCCAAAAGCTAGTACACTCACCTGGCAGCCTGTTCAGTGGCAGGATCTCTTGCACTCCTCCTCAAACTCCCCCGTCTGCTTTACTCTTCTTAACCGTCAGGGTGGTTAAACACGGGAATGAATTTCCTAGAGAGGTTGTTAACAGCAGGTTAGACAGACATCTATCAGGGATGATATCGACTATTCTTGGTCCTGCCATGGGGGCAGGAGACTGAACTTGATCTCTTGTGGTCTCTTCCAGTTCTAGTATTCTATGATTCTGTAGATAAATGTATAGCTGTATCAATCTCAATATTTATAGTAGAGAATTAAAAATTGTCTAGGTTTCAATAAACATTTCCCTCTATAAATTTTAGTATCTATAGGTTAATTCAGCATAACCTTCTATAAAACAAAACAAGTCAATTTATTGGAAGAATACAACCCACATACAATTACAGGTAAGTGACTTTTAAACTGCCAGGACCTTTGTCAAGTCATCATCCAAGATAAGATTCAACTGGCCTTCCCTAATGTTGAAAACATTTGCAATTTGTTTCTAGTCTAATGGTGACTTAGTCTAGTTCTTTTTAAAATTCACCTTCATTTTTACACAAATATAAAGCTTTGTTTATATAATGACTGTCCTTTCTCTGAAAATAGGAATTTTTTTTTATGGTGTAGGACCTCTTACATAGCTTAGGGCCTGCACCATGTTCTCTGTCATACAAAATAGCAATTGGTTGTTATAAGGTTAGCTGGAGTATAACTTACCATTTTTCTTCTACATACTGATAAACAATTAACTGAACACTTTAAAAAGTGCATGATGGTTGATTATTTTGGCGCGCTTGGCAGATGCATTTGATTTGAAGAGCTCTCTTCAATGTCTAGAACAAACATAATGCAATTTCAGAAAAAGTATATTGCATTCAAAACAAATAATCCTTTGATAAACTTATGTGAAAGCAGTAGCGTAGACCTATTTAAATATGAATGTATTCCTAGAAGAAAACCAAATTTCAATATTAAGGTGTAAGACTGTTGGTCTTAACTCATCTCCACAATCTTGAAGCTCATTTTCAACAACATGTTTACAGATTGTGATAGAGTAGTGAACCACCAGTGGGCCAGTGTCAGCAACTCGTCAGGCCTAACATACCAACGACATCTGACACTGTCATAATCTGTATCTAAAACATGTCATGTAAGGCATCCTACATAAACTAACTAGCTGGTCCTGAAGAATCATTGTGTGGTGAAGGTATGGGGTGTACTCAGAGATGTATAATCCCAAATTGCCCTAGATAAAGGAATGTGTATTTAGTTCAAGTAGCCTGGCCCAACTATGATAAATTTTCATATAATGTGGACAGAATTATCAAGCAATAGAGAAGACTGCATGTCATCTACACCCCAGCAGGAGTGAACACTTAGGATTAATTTTTTCAAAGATTACATTTCAAAAGTTTGCTGGACAATAAAAGAAAGGGGAGATAACTCCATAGTTATCCATTACTAGGATGATACAAGAGGCCAGGCCTCTTGTAGATCTGAGAAAAGTGGCTCCCTATGGGTTGAAACTCTGGGAACTGAATATAGGTGAGAAACCTGCTTAGACAAAGAACTTGCTGAATTTCAGTTTCAGAAGCAAAATTTCTATCCTTACTCTTTGTACCTGGTATCAATAAAAGCTATGATTTAAACTTGTGTTACTTTTACTATAAAATCAGTTCAGAGCTGTGATTGAGATGAGAGTGCTTGTCAAACACCAGTTAAATTCACGAGCTGCAATTTATAAACTCTTTGAAAGGAGCAACAAATTTAATATTTTCAGTGAATGTATAATGATAGGGGCTGTGCATTGCTGGGATATCGGAGAACCTTGTGACTAGAATTCACTGACTGATAATGGCTAGGTAAGACTGGGGTGCTGTCTACACTATCAGGTTATTTCAAAATAAGCTTATTCCTCTTCACAAGCAGGAGTTATTTCAAAATAACACGCCCATTATTTTGGAACAGACTTGGTAGTGTGGACATTTGCCTTCTTATTTCAAAATAATTCCTTAGTGCAGACATGCCTAGGTAGAGTCTGAATGAGTTTGCTGGTGAGGCAGACAGACAGGCATGACATGGAACTGACAGTCCCATCTCTGGCAATGATCACTCTTGCTGAGGCAGAGAGGAGCCCAGTGGTTAAAGCAGCACATTACACAGATGCAGACTTTTCAAAATATTACTGAACTTTAAACCCAATAAAGAACTCAATTCGTTTTACTCATTTTTCATTCACAGCTTCAAACTCTCTTTCAGAAGTCAGTAGCCACAAGACAGATCAAAATTCAAACGGAACTCCTCTTGATGTGTTTTTGCCCCATGCTAAAAATGAATATCCTCAATTGTCCAAACAGACCACAGAAACATTAATTTCACCCAGACCTGTTTACTGCTGCAGAACTGTGTTATACAACAATCAGTAAATAAGGAAATTGATCTTCAGGTAGATCACCAAACTAGTCAACGCAAGATTCTTTGTTTGAAGATGGGAATTTATTCTTCTCTCTAAACAGGAAGTAAATCCTTCGTCAGCAGTAATTTTAAAAAATTTTTAAATTAAAGCCTATAATCACTATCTTTGTAGTATGTTTGAGAAAGGGCAGAGGTAAAGACATATAGTATTTATTATGATATAAAGAGTCAGTTGCTAGGGGCTTATATCTTGCACTAGCAAATAAAGGGTTAACAATGAGTCTGTGACACTTGGAGGAGAGACTGCTATTTAAGATTTGACTGGCTAGGGAGATCCAGACTGGGTAGACTGCAAGGCAACTAGGGAGAACTGAGCTGAAGCTGGGAGTTCAGACCCTAGGACTGGCATTGAAGGAAGAGGGTATTACAGATGAAGGGATTTCAGGCAGATGTCATACATCTGGAGAATGCTCCTTACCAACAGACTTGGAAAAGCTTCTTGGGAAGACAAAATTGCAGGCAGAGGGAGGACTGAAGAGTGCAACTCCACAACAGATGCCTGCAAGTAGACAAAGGGCAGAAGTAGCTTAGAGAAGCAATGAGGAATCACAAAGACCCAATAACAGCACTGCACATCTGATTACAGAGCTCTGCTACTTTGTCCTCACCCACAACTACTTGCAATTTGGAGACAATTTGCATCTCCGAGTCAGCGGCACAGCAATATGCCAACATCTTTATGGCTGACCTGGAACAATGTTTCCTCAGCTCTCTCCCCCAACACCCTTACTTTATTTAGGCTACATCGATAACATCATCATATGGACCCCCGGGAAAGAGACCCTTGAAGAATTTCACAAGGATTTCAACAACTTCCCACCCCACCATCAATCTCAGCCTGTGTCAGTCCACATGAGAGATCCACTTCCTTGACACTACAATACAATTAAATGATGGACAAATTTCCACCACCCTATACTGGAAACATACCAGCTGCTACACTTACCTTCATGCCTCTAGCTTCCATCCCAGACATATTTCTCAATCTATTGTATACAGCCAGATTTGTTCCAGTCCCACAGAGACAAACCTACAGGACCTCTATAGAACATTCCTAAAACTGAAATACCCACCTGGAGAAGTGCAAAAACAAATCGACAGAGCCAAAAAAGTACCCAGACATGAACTACTTCAGACAGACCCAAAAAAGAGAACAGAATTCCACTTGTTATTACCTACTATCCACAACTTAAACCCCTTCTACACATTATCCACAATCTATGACCTATCTTGGAAAATGACCCTTCACTCTGAGGCCTTGGGGGAAAAAGGCCTATTCTGACTTACTAACAACCCCCTAACCTGAAAAGAAAAATCCTTTCCGGTAACCACACATAGCTACATCATAAGCATCCAGGAACCAACCCCTGCAATAAACCCCAGTGCCAACTCTGCCTACACATCTATACAAGCGATTTCATCACTGGACCCAACCACATCAGCCACCAAATCAGAGGCTCATTTAACTGCACATCCAGTAATGTGATCTTTGCCATCAAATGCCAGCAATGCCCCACCACAATATATATTGGACAAACTGGACAGTCCCTAGGGAAAAGAATTAATGGACAAATCAAATATCTGAAAACCAACACACAAAAACCTGTTGGGGAACACTTTAACGTCCCTGGACACTCATTAAGGGATCTCTAAGTTGCTGTTTTGTTTCAGACCAATTCTACAAGCCCAATACACAGAGAAGGATTGAAGGATTGGAACCCCACTTCATTCTCAAGTTTAACTCTCATACAAATGGTCTAAATCGCAATATTTGATGGCTCGCACATTATCAACCAGCCAAACAATGAAGGTGCCAATGGTTCTTGATGTCTGTGTAGAATCTGGTGTTCGTACTCTTCCTTTCCTAGTGCAAACTAATGGTTCTTATCAGCCTCTTTTAACTAATAGACTGTTTATGTTTTTCCTGTTACAGACTGGCTCAGCTATACCTTTGAAACTTATCTACCAATGTCCTCTTTTCTCTCCCCTCTAATTTCCCCCCTCCCGCCTTCCCTTATTTATTCTTGGTTCTGGACATGCAACACTCTGGTCATCTGAAGAAGTGGGCTGTGCCTACAAAAGCTCATGATACCATCTACATGTTTTGTTAATCTTTAAAGTGCTACCAGACTATTATTTGTTTTTAAGTTTTGCTTATGGATTGTTAGCATTGCTATTTCTATTATGGGCATTCAAAGTGGCATGGCATGGCACTAATTTTGTGTGTCTGTTTTTATACTCTTAAAAACCTGTGTGTAACAGGGTGGCACTCACCTCTCAAGAGTGAGCAAACCCCCACACACACTCACAATCTGGCCAAATACACATGCCTGCACTTGCTCTGTTCTTCAGCCTTTTTGGTTACTCGGCCCTCCAACCAAGTCACACTATGTGAATCACAACCCACTCCAGAATACACTTACCAGGGGCTCATCTCAGTTCCCTGCTAGTGTCCCTCTGTGAGGGGGTACGCCCCTGATGGGGGTTGCGACCCATTTCTACTGGCCTTTGTCTCGGTCGAGGCCCTTCTCTCCGGGCATTTACAGTACCCCAAAGTCTCGGCCCCTCTCTCAGGGCAAATATGGTATTCCCAGAACTAGCAACAAGTCCAGGCCCCTCTATCAGGGCATATATGGTACCTGTGGCCTAGCTCTGGAAAAAGCCTCTCCTGGCCGGCGTGTTTGCTCTGGTTGCGGGAAGGAGTGGTAGGGGGACCTGGGCCCTCCCTCTCCACCGGGTCCCAGCCCAGGGCCCTGTAGGCAGGGGTTCTTGCTCCTGCCTGCTCGGTGGGGAATCCAGCCGATACACACCAAGCAGAGTTTGCAAGTCCTTGCTCTGGGCTGCTTCCTACCACTCTGGCTCGGGCTTCACCAGCTGTCGCAGGAACACCGGGGCTGCAGCCTGGGCCCTCCGACTCTCAGGAGGCCTCCTACTTTAAAACGCTAATTCGAGCTAGTTTTTAGTTCTAGATGCGCTAGTTCGAATTAGCTTAGTTCGAATTAGCGCTGTAGTGTAGACATACCCTCAGAGGACTGATGGGCAGAATCCCCTGGGATGCTAACATGAAGGGGAAAGGAGTCCAGGATAGCTGGCAGTATTTTAAAGAAGCCTTATTGAAGGCACAGAAAGAATCCATCCCAATGCATAGCAAGAGAGGCAAACATGCTTACAGGGCAAATCCTTGGTGAACTTAAGCACAAAAAGGAAGCTTACAAAAAGTGGAAACTGGGACAAATAAAAAGGGAAGGGGTTTAAATTTATAGCTCGAGAATGCCGGGGGGTTATCAGGAAGGCGAAAGCGCAATTGGAATTGCGACTGGCAAAGGATGTGAAGGATAACAAGGAAGGTTTCTACAGGCATGTTAACAAGAAGGTGATCAGAGAGGGTGTGGGGCCCCTACTGGATGAAGGAGGTAACCTAGTGACAGATGATGTGGGGAAAGCTGAAGTACTCAATGCTTTCTTTGCCTCTGTATTCACGGACAAGGTGGGCTCCCAGACTAATGCGCTAAGTGACGCAAGATGGAATGAAGATGGACAGCCCTTGGTGGGTAAAGAACAGGTTAGGAACTATTGAGAAAAGCTCAACGTACACAAATCCATGGGTCCAGACTTAACGCATCCGAGCATACTGAGGGAGCTGGCAAATGTCATTGAGGAGCCTTTGGCCATTATCTTTGAAAAGTCACGGAGATCGGGAGAGATCCCGGATGATTGGAAAAAGGCAAATATAGTGCCCATCTTCAAAAAAGAGAAGAAGGATGATCATGGGAACTATAGGCCGGTCAGTCTTACTTCGGTTCCTGGAAAAATCATGGAAGGGATCCTTAAGGAATCCATTTTGAGGCACTTGGATGAGAGGAAAGTGATTAGGAATAGTCCGCATGGATTCACAAAGGGCAAGTCCTGCCTGACCAATCTGATTAGCTTCTATGATGGGGTAACTGGCTCGGTGGACATGGGAATGTCAGTGGATGTGATATACCTTGACTTTAGCAAGGCTTTTGCTATGGTCTCCCACAATATTCTTGCCAGCAAGTTAAGGGAATGTGGATTGGATAAATGGACGGTAAGATGGATAGAAAGATGGCTAGAAGATTGGGCCCAGAGGGTAGTGATCAACAGCTCGATGTCAGGATGGCGGTCGGTTTCGAGCGGAGTGCCCCAGGGTTTGATTCTGGGACCGGTTTTGTTCAATATCTTTATGAATTATGGATGAGGGGATAGATTGCACCCTCAGAAAGTTTGCAGATACAGTAAACTAGAGGGAGAGGTAGATATGCTTGAGGGCAGAGATAGGGTTCAGAGTGACTTAGACAAATTGGAGGATTGGGCCACAAGAAATCTGATGAAGTTCAACAAGGACAAGTGCAGAGTCCTGCATTTGGGACAGAAGAATCCCAAGTATTGTTACAGGCTGGGGACCAACCAGCTAAGTAGTAATTCTGCAGAAAAGAACCCGGGGCTTACAGTGGGTGAGAAGCTGGATATGAGTCAACAGTGTGCCCTTGTAGCCAAGAAGGCTAATGGCATATTAGGGTGCATTAGGAGGAGCATTGCCAGCAGATCCAGAGAAGTGGTTATTCCCCTTTATTCGGCTCTGGTAAGGCCACATCTGGAGTATTGTGTCCAGTTCTGCACCCCCCCATCCCCCCCGGTTACAAAAAGGATGTGGATGCATTGGAGAGGGCAACCACAATGATTAGGGGGCTGGAGCACATGACCTATGAGGAGAGGCTGAGGGAGGTGGGTCTGTTTCAGCAGCAGAAGCAAAGAGTGAGGGGGGATTTGATAGCAGCCTTCACCTTCCTGAAGGGTGGTTCCAAAGGGGATGGAGAAAGGCTGTTTTCAGTGGTGACAGATGGCAGAACAAGGAGCAATGGTCTTACGTTGTGGTGGGAGAGGGCCAGGTTGGATATTAGGAAAAACTATTTCACTGGGGGGGGGGTGAAGCACTGGAAGGGGTTACCTAGGGAAGTAGTGGAGTCTCCATCCCTAGAGGTGTTTAAGTCTCAGCTTGACAAAGCCCTGGCCAGGTTGATTTAGTTGGGATTGGTCCTGCCTAGAGCAGGGGGCTGGACTTGATGACCTTCTGAGGTCTCTTCCAGTTCCATGGTTCTATCATTCTGTGGTACCTCCAAAGCTTCCCCTCCTGGAGATAGCTTCTTTGCCTTGACCTTAAGGCTTTTAGCTCAGGCCATCAGCCCACAATAGCGCCACGCCATGATGTTGTTCTCTTAGCCAGCCAGCCACAGTCTTCACCTTCTCAGGCTCCACAGACACTGAGCTGATTAGTCTCCTCCTTTATAGGGCTTTCCTGGCCCCTGGTTAACTGCTTCCTCCTGCAGACACTCTACTCTCCTTGGAGGACTTCTCTGTGGTTGCTGGGACAGCATGTGGCACAAGCCTCCAGGAAAGGGTTTTGAAGTCTGGTCCACCCCATCACAGCATGATTTAAGCAAAACTGAGTTGCTTAATGAATTATGCGTTGCAGATTCTTTATGAATGTACAATATTTCTAATTTATAACAAAACAATGAAACAACTGTACAGTGAAACAATGCAGTGAACAGCAGTATAACACCATTCTGGAAGGACTCCGATTTACTGGAGAGCGTATACCTTGCCTTTTGTTCCTTTGCCCTCTGTTCCTGAGAAACTGTCAGGAGTATTTGATGGGTGGAAAGAGCTGGGCTCCTGGGTGAGCTGAGGCTGGGAAAGGGAATGGCATTTTGAAACATGGCTGTGGGGGTACAGCAGGGAATATATGCTGAAGTTCACAGTACCCTATATCGTTCCATGGGCTGCAAAACACAGTTGAGTCCAGGCTAGGGCACTGAATTTTCTGTGGGACAACTAGCATTCAATACTCTTTCTAAGCATTCTGCTTCAATAAGGTCTCTGAACATCTCATCCTGAATTCTTAGTTTCTTCTCCCTCAGTCAGCCGCCTAAAGCTCTGTCCTTGAAGTTCTGGAGTATGAAAAAACCACACAGTTATTGTTCATATTCCAGAGAGACAATTAGAACTTTAAACATGTATTTGATTTCCCCTCCCTGAGATTCTTTCCAGTCTTGGGAAAACCTGAGAGATGTGCTGATGGTTTGGAAATTTTGGGTGAGTAGTATATGCAGTTAATTTTTGCAGTTCTCTTGGGGGGGGGGGGGGCGTAGGGTGAGGGTTGGGAATATTGCCCTCAGTTTGGGTTCACAGTTCAGCCTATGCCTTGGTAGTACTTACATTATTTCAGTTGTTGCTGAGCCCAGCAGCCATCTCCACTCATATTGTGAACACCAGCTTTGCTCTCTGGATCTCCAGGCAAATAGTATTGCTGTCATTTAATGGAGATGATTCAGATATAGAGAGCTGCTATCCATATTAGAGAGACCAGTGAGCAGGTCTCAGTTACAGAAAGGTCAAGGCCAGCTGCAGGGCAAGAGCGGAAGGAGGTGAGAATCTGCTCAGAATTAATGAAGCAGAGAGGAAAAAAATCATTTCTGTTACCTTCTCCTACTACTTTTTCATAGGTGCTGAAACTAAGGGTATTGGGGGAGATGGGCTGCCGCACCCTCTGGTTTGAAGTTATTTCCAACATATTCAGCATTTATAATTTGGTTCAATGGCTCTCAGCATCTCCACTATACAAATTGTTCCCTCACCCCTGGCTCTCTCCATTCCTCTTTCTTAGCAACATGCGGAGAGCAGCCAGTAGCTCTGAGATACAGTTGTAGGCAGCACCTGACAGAATTAATTTTAAACCAGACCTAATTCTACTTCACAGACCTTTAGTCCTCTGATTCCATAACATCAAGGCAGCATTTGTATACACAGATATTTGAGATACAATTTTACAATAGGCTGAAACTCTCACATATTACTGCCATGGGTCTGCTAGGCTATCTGGGCCCTGTGCTAAACAACAATGTTGCTTTACAAAGCAGATCTTCTGGGTCACTTTTTTGTAAGCCAGAAGTGCAAATAATGAGAAGTTAGACTGAGGCACAGAACTCTGAATGGCTATGTCCAGTTGGCTTGAACTGCAGGCAAAGTGAGTGTAGACTTCTAACACAGATATGCTTTGCATAAACAACCAAGAGGTGTACCTGAGGTGAGAGTTTGAAAATACACATATTGTCATGATGACTGATCAGATGCCAGCTCATGCCAAAGCCCCAGCATACAAACCAGTCTAGCTTACCAGTGATTTAACATTACGAAAATAAATATTTGCTGTTAAGTTGATAAGAATATGTTTAGAATGTATGTGGATGAGCAGTGGGGTGCAATCACTCCCTACCAGGCGGGCAGGGGGGCTCAGCGAACCCCTTCGTCCTATAATCGGGTCCCCAACCGGGATTCCCAGTCCGGTGTCCCGTAGGTTGGGTGCGATCACACCCTCCCTGCAGGGCAGGAGAGGGGGGGTTCAGTGGACCCAGCGTCTATACGCTGACTCGGCAGGGAGGGGGGCTTATGCCCTGAGTTTGGCCCCTCAGCAGGGCGATGACCCAGCCGGCCTTTACGTCCGGCCACCACAATCGCACGTTGGTGCGCATTTGGATTCAGGAGGGGTTGGGCAGTAAAGGGGATTGGGAGGGGGACCCGGGCCTGCATTCTCTCCAGGTCCCAGCCCGGGGCCCTAAGTGCAGGGGCTCGCCATCACCCCTGCACAGCAGACGGGGGGGGGGGGGGGGGTCCTA